CCGTAATTGTCGTCACCTGGGAGCCTGTATCAACAATTGCATTGACCGCGATGTCCCCGATCGTGATCATCATCTCGGGACAGACTCCCATCATTTTGTTTCTTGGGCCATAACCTCGCCCCTCTGTAGCCTGACCCTGCCTTACAGAGAGCGATCGTTTCCCCGGACAGTACCGTGCCATGTGTCCGGGTTGTGAGCAGGACAGGCAGATTGGTCTACCGTCAGCTGTCCACTGGAGTGATGGCTTGGCAGGTCGCGGCTGTCTAACTTGTCTATGTTTTGTCCCGTTTTTTCCCTGATGCTCTGCTGTTGACCTGCTTTCTAACCTCTCCAAGCGTTGGTCAACCTTATCCAGGTGAGCCAACAGTTGAGCCATCATGGTTTCCATCGTGCCGGTCCCTGTGGGTGGTGATTGTTTCTGTTCCGGCACAGAGACTTTGTCTACCGAGCAGTTCGATTCGTCCTCATACTCGGACCTGCGGATCGCTGAGTTCCTGACCTGAAGGAAGGTCAACTGTGGGTCTTTGTACACCTCTTCTTTCAAATCTCTCCTTAAGATAGGGGTCGCTAGCCCCTCGGCGAAATGGTCCCTCAGCAGGCGCACATCAATGTCGGGTGTTTTGCCCTTTACCGCGTCAAATGCCCTGATCATTCGGTGTGAATATTCCATCACACTCTCCGCCAGTCTCTGCTTTAAGCCTACGAACCCCGATAGCAGTTGCGATCCCGACCGTCTCTCCCCAAAGGTCTCCTCAATTAGATCTAGCACCTTATCTGGATCTGTTTGGAGGGCTTTATCGTGGCATTTGACTTCCGCCCTAACCGTCTCTCCTATACTGCCCATCAACAATCTTAATCTTTCCTCTGGTGACATGTATCTCGAGGCCCAGGCAGCCCTGACCTCTTCACTGAACCTGTTAGTTAAGGTTGGATCACCGTCCCCGTAAAATTTGTTGATGTGGGACTCTCTGGGTAGGACCACAATATGGGTCTGCTTCTCGTCCAGATTAGACATTCTAATTTTAATTCTTTGAGTAAAAAAAGACCTTTCCTACCGTGCATGTAAGAATACTTTTCCCTGTTCCTGAGTGTCCGAATTCACACACACGAAACACAGTTATTAACTAGGTTGACTATGGGTGCCCTAGCGGCTGGTCTAGTTGAATTCCACTGCCGACGACGCCAAATGTTACCACTGCCGACAGCGCCAAATGTTTCCACTGCCGACAGCGCCAAATGTTACCCAGTCTATTTACTTGTAGTGCCAAATGTTACCGAGTGTATTTACTCGTGCTACCTTTGACCAGCACACAACATCGACCACAATATAGATACTCGGAAGTGCAGGTTTACATTGATCTCTTTATTACATGAATCAATAGAAATGCTCCACATAACAATGCATCAATGTTCCACAAGAATACAATGAATCAAATGACCCCCATTGTCCTCACTAGTCCTCACATAACAGAATGCACGTGTCCATCGTTCCTATTCTCACATAACACAATACGTCTACACCGTTCAGTCTCCAACTTGGTTCTGCCCCGTCTCCGATACGCAGCCTTATATTATATCCCTCGTATACGCAATACTTTCCATTCGTTGCATCAGACTATGAACTGCGCAGCGGCTTTGTCGTATCGCTTCCCAAAATACGCCGTGGCTTTGTGTTCTTATCAGTCCACCACCTGCACTATTGCGTCAGACTGTAATGCGTTCTTACAATAGTCTTTAGTTGACAGACTGTATTACGTTCTTATCGTCCCTAGTAACTACACTAGTTACATATATATATATATATATATATATATATATATATATATATATATATATATATATATATATATATATATATATATATATCTTCTTGTAGTTTGGTGCAGGTGTGTATAAAAGAGCTTTCTGATGGGACCGACGAAAATGAATTCCCCTTCGTGCGCAAGAAAAGACAGACAAAACAATTGCGCAAAAAAAGACACAAATAATAACCTGCGGGAATTCCCGTTACCGAATAAAGATGTATTTTTTTACGTCAAATGTCTTTGATTTAAAAAATATTTAGTAAACAGTACGTTCAGTGTATAAAATAAATCAAATTAAAAATACCTACCATATGCACTTGATTAATCCTTGCTAATTATGTAATTCTTTTTTTTCCCAACACTAAAACAAAGTAATAAAAAAAATTCATAAAAAACGTTTTAATAAAAAGCTTTTATGTAATGATGCACTAAAAAGTAGAAAATAAATTATACACTACTATTTAAATTACTATAAAGAAAAGCGTGGGTCTCTTCTCAAATATTAGTAAAGGTATCCAATAGGTACTAAAGTACTAAAGTGACCCACGCTTTTCTTTATAGTAATTTAAATAGTAGTGTATAATTTATTTTCTACTTTTTAGTGCATCACTACATAAAAGCTTGTTATTAAAACGTTTTTTATGAAAAAAAAATTCAGAACTTTACATGTTTTATTTACAATAAAGTTACATGACTAAAAACCATTGCGCGCCTACTGAACGTGATGGCGCAGCTATTGAAAGTGATGACGCGTCAAATGTAATGTCACTATGCATTGTCTTCATGTCTTGACCCACGTGCCAACTGTGAATCGTATCGGACAAGTAGAACTGTCCGAATTTTCACTCCTACGTTTCGATCTAGACTGACGACAGACTGTCGACTGACGACAGACAGAGGAAGTGAGTTAAATAAAAGCTTGTAAAAAGTAAATTCTTTTCCACCCGATTTAATGCCTTTAAAGGGAAGTAATTGTGTTTTCCTAATTTATCAAAAGGAAGTAAGTGCTAAAGGACTAAATATATATAATTTTCAGACATAATTAGAATATTTGTAAAAGAAAATATTCTTTAAAAATATTTTTTAATGAACATGCCGACAATTATTACTATCAGTTTGGAAAATGAAAATTCTTTCACGACACTTTCAGTATTAATTTTTTAAACTATGCATTTAGACCATTAGCACTTTAATTATCTAACTTTTGAATCCATGGAAGTATCGTATTATCTTAGATTCCTTTGTAATCTACGACAAACATAATTACACGAGAAAAATGGCCCGTTGAGGAAGGATACAACTAGGTTTATAGTGCTGTCTATTTTTTCTAAACAAAAACCAACCCCCCCCCCCCCCCCACACACACACACACTCCAAAACATGTCTCCCGTCCCATTCAACGAAATATAATTATATTCCCAGAAAATTCAAACCCCGCCCCCCAAAAAATTCAAGAAATCCCCAACCCTATCGGAGAGAAAAAAAAGTCTGAAAGAAACACTGGTCGCATTTGTAGATCATACAAACTAAAGGAAGATCTTGGGCGGGGCTTCGCCCCTACGGAAAGAGATGCATGAAAAAAAACTGTACACGCTAAACACGTTTTAGATTAGAAAAAGGTCCCCCCCCCCTCCGGGGAGGAAAAAGTGTGAAAGAAACACTGGTGTCGCTCTTAGCCACTACCCGAAGAATTGCGGCCCGCGAAGTCCTCTCATCCGGCCCGTGGAGATGTTTTTGTCCAAGGAAAAATCGTTTGTTGGTGATGATGAGGAACTTTGCGCAGAAAAATCAAAGACATGCCTGGAAGAAACTGGCCCCCGAACTGAAATTTGATAGTTAATGCGGCCCTTGGACTGAAAAGTTTGGAGACTCCTGATCTAGATCTATGGATTTTAGATCTAGACTAACTAGATCAAGATCTAGAATCTATTCCAATATGAGTTTCTATACTAAACTATTCCAGGTCTTAATTATTTTATATAGATTCTAAATCTTTGTTTAGCTATTGAATTAGCGAATCTCGGATTAAAAAATGTATTTGAAATAATAGGGCCTATTCGCGTAACTTAAGTTAACTAAATACCGCATTTATTCAGAATCTAAGCCAACATGCCTAAATAGCTGAGATGATAGTGTAATAGTTACCATGTTGGTGGCACGGGTTAGAAACACACCAAGTCAATCTTAAATTTTAAAAATTAATTATTTTTTTTTAAATGTGGATAATAAAGTTGCCTATCGGGACTTGGCGGGACACGGGGCAGGTGAAGTAGAGTTCACCTGGTTCTGTCTTCTCGGCATATGAAGCGATAGTGTGCTCAGCCGAAATAGGGTTTTTAAAAGACAAAAGCAACATAACTACCATTGAGCAGCCGGGTTTTTAACAAAATCATTTAAGTCTCTTATTTCAAATCTCTTAATCAGCGTGTGCATTTAATATCGTGTTTTGTTGACTAATAATATATAAAATTCGGTGTCACCCCCCAGAGGCGTAGTGACCCTTCCCGGCGCCCGGGGACAAACTTTCACTTTCAATTTTCGATTTGCACCCCCTCAAACTTTCAATTTGCACCCACCCCCCACCCCCCTCCCCCCACCCTTGTCGGGATTTGTCAAATTTGCTCTTAAAAGACTTTTTAACACTCAAATGAATCATTTAATTAAGTTAAATTATCATTTTTCTCTATATATTTTGCTATTTTTTTGCCTTGGTGTCACCCCTCTAAATGGTGTCACCCGATGCGGTCCGCACCGCCCCCCGCCCTCGCTACGCCACTGGTCTATGTTATTTTAAATGTGTCGGATTTTTAGCTATTTAGTTATTTCTTTGCTTTGTCACTAAGATCTTTCAACATAGCGTTTTGACCAATAACTTTTTTAAAAAATTAAAATATATAGGCCTATAATTCACGAGTAACGGGTACCGACGGCTGGTAAATACTAGACGGCCAGGCCCTGCACTAGCCGCTCTAAATTCCCTATCTGTAAAAATATTTCGTTAACCTTTATTCTGAGACTGCACGAATGCGCCGGCGGGCACGCTAGTATCTTTATAAACCTAAGCCTCAAACTCAAACAGCCTGTGAGCTAGCTTTTAGTTAGTTCACTAGGGGTAAGGCAAACCCTGACACATTTTTAATTCTTGTGTAAATCTATATGTAAGCCTAATTTTATTTTTTGTTATTTATTTTTCAGTTGAATCAGTTCTTGGCACAGCCAATGGCGCCAAAAGATTCGAATTCTTTGTCAAATAACTTAGATGTACTATTAGGAACATTGCTGAGTAAGTTAAATAATGTAGTATATAGTATATTATATATATATATATATATATATATATATATATATATATATATATATATATATATATATATATATATATATATATATATATATATATATATATATATATATATGAGATCTGCACATATGACATGGCACAAAAGCTGGGTATTATTACCCACACTATGAGCCATTACAAACGCTATATCAATTTAATAAACAGCCACTTACAAGGTGAATACTACAGCGCAGGGGCGTAGCGAGGGGGGGGGGCAGGGGCAGAGGCGTAGCGAGGGGGGGGGCGGGGGGGGGACATATGTCCCCGGGCGCCGACCTTAGGGGGGGCGCCAAATTGAAAGTTTGAGGGGGGGGTGCAAATGAAAAGTTCGAGGGGGGGGTGCAAATCGAAAGTTCGAGGGGGGGGTGCAAATGAAAAGTTCGAGGGGGGGGTGCAAATCGAAAGTTCGAGGGGGGGGGTGCAAATGAAAAGTTCGAGGGGGGGGGTGCAAATCGAAAATTTGCTCCCGAGGGGGGCGCCAAATTGAAAGTATGTCCCCGGGCGCCGGGAAGGGTCGCTACGCCTCTGGGCAGGGGTGCGGACCGCACCGGGTGACACCATTTTGGGGGGTGACACCAAGGCAAAAAATAGCAAAATATATAGAGAAAAACTTGAGGGGGGTGCAAATCGAAAGTTTGAGGGGGGTGGGGTGCAAATCAAAAACTTGAGGGGGTGCAAATCGAAAATTTGAGGGGGGGGGGGGGGTGCAAATCGAAAACTTGAAAGTTGAAAGTTTGTCCCCGGGAAAGGTCGCAACGCCTCTGGGGGTGACACCATTAAGTGCCGCACCGGGTGACACCCGACTTCGCTACGCCACTGCTACAGCGGTTTAGACATGAGCACTTTCATGAAATAAAAATCTTCAACATTTAATCAAATGTTTATTTATATAACAGAAATAATATAGCTTTGTGTGTGATAAGTTTTGGAGGGTGTTGGAGCGAAGAAATGTTCTAACGATGTCGGTCTCTCTCTCTCGTCTTTAGTGGCGAAACTGCCGTGCCGGGATATCGTGTGCGTTTTAGGAGAACATATTTTCGTGCACTTTGATACTGGTTTTGCAAAAACACATTCCAGTGGATATTATTCTACACCCACTAACCCAAAATGTTGCGTAGAAGGAAAAAAAACGCTTGCGAACTGTTGTGTGAAGGATATGTATACGTTCCTCTATGACTTATTGCTGGGGGGGGGGGAGAGGTACTCCCTGCTCCCACTTGCAAGCAGATTTTTAGGACAGATGCGCCTTTTTTTATAGGGGAAAAATGAAAACAAGCAAAAAAAAAATCAGTGAAGAATAACTAAATTAGTGAAAATAAATTATATGTGTTGGCGTCTGTATCAAAATGATAGGCGCCTATCTGGTGGTCAACATCTGCACAAGGTGTTGGCCAGCGTGCGTATTAAACTGTTGGTTAACGAAGGTGTCAATTTTGTGGTCAGCGTGCGTATTAAACTGTTGGTTAACGAAGGTGTCAATTTTGTGGTCGGCGTGCGTATAAATCTCTTCGGGGGGACTAAGCCCCCCCGAAAAATTTTTACCGAACGAAATGAAATTTATATAATTTATATAGAAAATATATACTTTTAACAGTGTCCGCCCCCCCCCCCCCGAAGAAAGTTTACCGCCCCCCCCCCCCCGAAGATTTTAAGTGCCCCCCCGGAGAAAAAAGTCTGGAAGAAACACTGGGTGTCACCCGGTGCGGCACTTAATGGTGTCACCCCCTCAGAGGCGTAGCGACCCTTACCGGGGACAAACTTACAAATTTTCGATTTGCAACCCCCCCCCCCCTCAAGTTTTTGATTTGCACCCCCCCCCCTCAAACTTTCGATTTGCATCCCCTCCCCCTCAAGTTTTTCTCTATATATTCTGCTATGTTTTGCCTTGGTGTCACCCCCCTAAATGGTGTCACCCGGTGCGGTCCGCACCCCCCGCCCCCCCCCCCCCTCGCTACGCCCCTGTATATATATATATATATATATATATATATATATATATATATATATATATATATATATATATATATATATATATATATATATATATATATAACGCTGCTGGTAGTGTGTCAGTCCGTCATCGCTGTAGATTTTGAAACCATAAAAGTGAACACACTACATTAACTTGCGTCGCAGTGTCTTATTATAAAATAAACAGGGAATGATCTCCCCTAAACTTTCTGGAATATTCTTATATAAAACAACAGGGGATGGCAACTCAGGATATAGACATGATTTTTAATCCATTTTTAATTACTTAAACTTTTTAAAATATTTATTGATAAAAAAATTGCTCACCAAGTGAACGCAAAACAAAATGTGTATAATAGTGCGGGATAGTATTAGTACTTAATAAATTATCATGCGTTTTTCGAGAAATCGGAAACAGCAAAAATTACTACTTCCGTTCAAGGGAAACTACTCAAAATTCAACAGAAGGCAGAGAATTAGATATTTTACTTACATGTGAAATTTCAATTATCTACCCGAAATAGTACTCAAGTTATATGCTTTTGAAAAACTTAAAGTAGAAAAATTTCCACTTCCGGTTATAGGAAATCGCTCAAAAATTGAAATGGAACTACGATTTTGATATAATACTTATATATGAAATTTCATCCTAGTAGCTTTAACGGTACTCAAGTTATCGTGTTTACACACACACACACACTCACACACATACACACAGAGACATACGGACAAGATTGCAAAACTATGTTTTTCCGGATCAGGGAGGTGTAAAACGTCGAGATTTGCAAAAATCTCGATTTTTTTTTCACGATTACAGGACTTTCTCTATAATTCGTATACACGAGAAATTAAAAATTGGTAATGTTTATTTATATAACGACTTAAATTTTGTGTATAGTTGGCACTGTTTATATTCTTTCGCATAACGTAAATAAAATATTAACTTATACACGCACATTGCTAAAACATTTTAAACGAGTCAATAGAAAAATTGGATATGTTAATAACAGTAAGGTAAAAGAACTAATTAATTAATTTTTTTTAAAATAATTTTGCCAAGAGAGGTAATTTAAATAGAAATTCTGTGGACGTATATGAGGACATTATTGTTAGAATATTAAAATTAGTGTGGATTGATAAAATGCATCGTGGTGGGTAAAATATGGATATTTTAAATATTGCCTTTTGTTTATTTTATGGATAAGTTGGGGTATTATAGTCGTTTACTAAGTTGAATCATGCGATTTAGCGCCCCGGGCTAGACTGTGAGCACTATGTGTTTAAGTTTGCATTTAAGGTGTGTTTATGTTATGCTTATGTTTTTTTTTTGCTTTTGTATTTGTGTTTGCATTGTGTTAGTGTTTGATTTTTCTTTTGTGTTTGCGTGTTGTGTTTTTGTTTATGTTTTTTTCCGTTTGCGTTTGCATTGGGTTTGTGTAGTGTTTTTGTTTTATTTTGTTTTTGTGTTGTGTTTGTGTTGTGTTTGTGTTGTGTTTGTGTTTTCTTTTGAGTTTGTGTTTTGTTTTGTTCCCAAGTTGGTACATGTAAAAAAAGATTCACTGTGGCGGAGCACGGGCATATATATATATATATATATATATATATATATATATATATATATATATATATATATATATATATGGGGATGACCCCGACCAAATGACGGCGAATTTACGTATAAAATGGTTCACTTGGAATAACTCACTTAAAATTTATACTTGGAAATTGATGTTAGTTTTAGTTTAATCAGTAGTGATAGTTATCATCTCCTGCATGTAGCCAACTTCATTATTATTTAATCTCGCAAAGATTTTAACAAATAATCTAACATCATTTTATCTCCCAATATGATATTTTTAACAATGCTATATTCTTGTTTTATATTAGGTAGTAGTGCGCAAACAAAACCAAAGACTACAACAAAACCACCATCGCCTTCTGGGCCATCGTTGATTAGCGATCGACTCAATGATTTTATTCTAGGACCCAAATCTGAATTTAGAAGTAATGCATTTAGTGAAATACCAACAAATGGTGCTGCGTATGACTCTTTAAATCCTCTGGCTGGATTTATGGGTAGGTTTTCCCAAATGTCTGTAAATTTGTGGCGAGAGAAAAATGTAATCTAAGATTAATTTCTATGGTAGATTCATAGATGTGAACAAAAATTTAAAAGGTACCTTTGTAAAAAAAAAATGCTTTAACCATATCAAACAATTTTACGCATCTATTTATAATTTAAGGAAACGCTGAAGACAAGTTGCAAAAGCAAATACATTATTCCTTCTTAAATATAACGCTAGAAGTTCAATCAAGTATAAAATCATAGACCAAATGCACACTGGTCTCCATCTTATCAACTCCTACATGTAACATGTCCCTGGGTGGGGTTTTCTGTGTAGTCTAGACCTCGTATATTTGTCTTGTGGTCCACTTCATGGACAAAAAAAACCTTAAAGCAAAGTCCAGATGAGTTGCCTCGTCATCCTATTGTGGTCTGGTCTTAATCTAACTAAAGATAGTCCCGACACGTCAATAAGAACGACTGCTCAGGATTTATCCAATAAAAATAACTTGTTAAACGTTTCCTTGAACCTAGATCTAAATCAAATGTGTATTGTATTAATTCCTGTAAGCTGCATTGCTTTAAATATTTTCTAACAGGAGAAACCCCTCCTCCTCCTACAACAACCACCCCAGCTCCACCTGGAAGAAATGGAGACTTTTTGGCTGGTTTTATTGGTGTAAACAAAGAAATAGTACAACCAAAGGCACAAACAGGTAATGGTTTAAAAAAGTATTTATTTATTCAGATCGTTGGTAGCTTTGAATACATTTTTGGCATACTGTTTTAAATTGTAGGCATTTTAATTGTTATCAATATAGATCTAAATATTTTATGAAACTGGAATCTGCATTGTTTCTAAATTGGTTCTTCTTTAATGAATTAAATATTGATTTTAAAAAACATATGTAGTGGGATGTTTTGTTGTTGTTGTTTTTTTTTGGCTACAGTGTAGCTGTTTTTATGAATTACAAAAACTGAAAACAAGCAGAGAGAAAAAAAAATTGTTACATTTTTTGTAACATTGATTATTTCACTTTCGCCGTTAAGGAACTTTGACTGTTTAACTTTAGAGCGAAATTTCACCTACTTCTATCAAACAAATCCATTTAAATACTATGTGAATGATTGGACACCAACGAGTGGACGAAAATCCTTCCTTCATTATTCATTACTAGCCACCAGTAACTGTTACACTTGAATCTTACTGAAGATAACGTCTTTAGTATTATCTATCATTTTCGAAATTCAATTTAAATTCTATTTTTATTCTACAATTCCATTACTGTTGCCAGTGATAGTCTTTGTCTACGTAAATGTTTTCAAGAGCGTTCTTGTTACATTCATAAACACTTCTCCGGTTGCATGATTAAAGCTGTGTTTCTGCCTTTATTTTTATCTTCCGTCCTTAAATAAAATTTAGTTTATACATTTAATACATCCAACATATTATTTTCAACAATACAAGAAAGTCTACCGCCCCCCCCCCCCCCCAACGAAATGGAATTTATATAGAAAATATATACTTTTAACAGTGCCTACCCCCCCCCCCCCCCCCCCCCGAGAAAAAGGTCTGGAAGAAACACTTGTTACCAATTTGTGTTTTTAAACGCGAGTCCTTCTTTTCTAAAACTTAGATAGTTAGGATGATAACAACGTCGGTGATATATTTCTCGGGACATTTCTTAGACGCGACAGGTATGAAGATATTGAGTGTTCGACAATCATCACCGTAATAATATTATTTGTATGAACCTTTTTATGTTTAGTATTTAAAATACGTTTACAAAAACTTAATTGTTTTCTTTCATATAGAGAGTTTTCAGCCAAACATCTACATGTATGATTACCAACAACAACAATCCAATCAAGTTACACCTACTCCACCATTAACTACAGATGCTGGATTAAGTAGCCTAGGAACTCAGGATCTCAGTGCATTAGTCCAAAAACTCTTGGGGGTGTTGGCAGTCAAACAAGCAGCTGTAGCACAAGGCCGATGATAAAGATTTTAAATATAGAAATTGATGACGCGTATAGGTCTGTTACATCATGAAAGTCTTGACATTGTTAAATTTAGCAATTACACATTGAAACTGCGCTTCTTACTTCAGAACTTTTAAAATAAAGTTTTTGATTGCAGAATTCCTTTTCTTATGTTTACCAACTTCTAAGTTCAGGAAAATTAGTTATATGTAAAGGGGTCATCCATAAATGACGCCACGCTTTTTTGACGAATTTTACCTTCCCCCCCCCCCCCCTCGACTCCGTCATACCTCGTCACAAAAAGCCAGCCCCCCCCCCCCCCCCCCCTAAAATGACGTCACACCTCAGCCCATGACCCCGCTCAAAATTGCAGTTGATTCTTTTTTAAAACATCGATATTTTTCCATAACCTTGTCAGAACTCAGTCAACAAATAGTATTTTTATTAATTCCTATTACAATTTATTAAAACCGTCTTCTAAAACGCGAAATAATGGCTAAAACTCGTCTTCTCATTCTTTTTAATAAGGCAAAAAAGTGACGTCACACCATCTGAACCTCCCACCCCCCTCATCACACATCGTTACAAAATTACACCCCCTCCCCCACGAGTGTGACGTCATTTATGGACGACCCCCCAAATGGTACCATGTTAATAAATTTTTACAAAATCTTTTATGATCAAGTCATACTATCTGCACATAACAGCAAATTTAACCACTGTAAGAGTGTAATAGAAATTACGGCTGCCAATAGTTCAACCATGTATATTATATGTCATACATCCCTGCATGGGGTTGTTTTTTTAACAAAGTGTACCAAAAAGTCATAGCTCAACAATTTACATTTGAACTGTTTAAAAAGTGTATATTTTAATTACAACATTATTTTGAAGCTTAATTAAAAATATACTAACATTAATGTAAATTACCAACTTAAAAAAATTAATTCTTCTATGTTGGAAACAGGAAGAATACCATGTTTCTCAAAACTTTTTCAAATAATTTCAAGGAACCTTTAAACCATCTGGAATTAAATTGTTCATGTGTTTTAAAACTTTTAATCACAAAAAGTTTTGTTTAATCATTCTCTACAAGAAACAAAATCACCAGCAATTCTTTAAATCATCAAAAACACAAGACACTGTAAAGAAGTAACTAAATTTGCATGATGGATGACCAAAAAAAAGTACTTTTAAAATTTTTTTAATAATCAAAAGTGTATTGTGTACTGAAAGAAAAATAACATGAAGTTCACATTTGGCATTAACATTTGAGTATAATTATATAAATAAGTAAACATGATGTTAAAAATTGATTGGCAAGCAACCATAATACATAGTTTAGAATACTAATTACTTTAGTAAAGATCCTTTTAACTAGTGATGATATAATTATGTGCATCAGGAGTACCAAAAGTTTTCTAGGGCAGCTGATGTTGAGTGCATCTGTTACTCAACTTTGGTATATCAAGGTATTTTTTTGGTAACAGTATGCAACTTTACTTTCCCCAACACAGATAATTGGGAACCAAACTTGAGACTCTTCATGTCTTGGCCATGCCAAAATAAATCCAGTTGCATGGACAAAAACTTGAATTAAATGTATACAACATTGCAAAATAACAGTAATGTAACAAAACTATAACTATTACGAATAAAGCCTTATCATAATCACAGTTAGTAAAAAATATAGATTCACATTTTGTATAAATCATTGCAAAATACATGTTTTAAAATAAACAAGACAAAAATCATTTACATTTTATAAATGATGTTCTACACAAAATGGTTTTGATTTCTAGAGTTACTTCTGAGAAATTGTAAAAAAAAAATTCAAAAGACCAAAAAATATTTAATTCAAGTTAGCAAAAAATAAATTTAATTTAATTATAAAAATAAACCAGATAAAACAAAACGAAAAACTTGTTATTGTTCTGATCATTCAAAGTAAGTCAAAATGTATCCTTAGTTTGTATAATTATGGCAAAGTCATATGCTTTTGGAGGAATCAGCTCATAACCCAGACCATATAAATATGTATTTTTTCTGTATTGGTTGGTCAAATGGCTTTTCAATGAAACTTGCAAATTAAAAAATTATAAAATCTTAACCAAATTTATTTTACTTTTTAAAGACAAAAAACAAGTAATAGAATTAGAATATTTGTCAATTTATTTTAGTACAAAGTTATTTTATACATTTTTTTCTAAGTTTAAACACAAATACTTTTGTTAAATAGCTCTGTAGACAGTAATAATAAAGAAATCTTAAGCAGTAAAAAAATGGATTTTTATTTTGAATTGTTCAAATCAAATTAATTGGGTAAAATATAGTATGCTATTCAATGAAATTATAAATTTTTTAAAAGTTGTTTCATAAGTGACAAACATCAATGGAATGTTCTGAAAAACATTTGTGTAACATAAATATTGAACAATACATAGAATATACCTAATTGACTGTTTTGCTAGTTTTTTAACACCAGGATAAAGTTCTTAATAAATTAAAATGGTCCTAATTTCTTTAAATATCTAAAGAAAACTGACTTATATGTTTAAATAAGTATAAGAGTATAAAAAAATTCTAGAATATATGGGCTTTGATTTGTTGATACCCTGTATATAGTGTCCAAAAATAATGATGTTTCTATCAATTTCTGAAAAATAAATAGACTTTCAATTAGTCTTGTTATATATATATATATATATATATATATATATATATATATATATATATATATATATATATATATATATATATATATATATAGATAGATATATATATATATATATATATTTTAAACTTTGAAATGGTATAAACACTCTAGCCAGCCAGTTTTAAAAAATCCACAGATGTTTTCTTTCTTTTTTTTGCATGGGTCTTAAAAGTATTGGTTAATACTGCAAAAAAATTACTGCAAAAAGTCTTTAAAAACTTTGGAAATAATTTTTCTACGGCAAATTTACTTTCATTTGAAACAGAAGCAATTTGATGTTTGGCTAAGAATATGCAACATGCTGACAAAATAAAAATAAAGAATTGTTAGCAAAGATAAATGAAATTTTTTATAACAAATGTGTATGAAGTGAAAAGCAAAGTGACATGTGGTTTCTAGAAACAATTTTGAATGAATTGAAAGAAAACTTTTTTAGAAAAATGTGTCAAGCTATAAAAATAGGTATTCTGCATTTACCCATCATCAACAAAGGCTTTTTAGCAACTCCATAAGATCTAAGAGGTGCTTTTTTTTTTAACTATTTAGAAATCCTACCAATAGTAAGAGTACCTTGTCAGCAGCCTTAAATATGACAGTGCTTTCCCACAGCCTCTATCATTCACAGAGGTCCTCTTGACTTTTACATTAAAAATTTTATTGTATGGTTTCAGGTTTTTTTTTTTAAAACCTAGTTATCTCAGATTACCTTCATAATCTCTATTCAGATGCCATATCCGGTAGCTTATCCTGTTCAACTCCACTCTCAACAGTAACTTGTGGTACTCCTTGCAAAGCTTCATTTTCTAATTGCTTTTGTTTATTGTGAATGGCTATCAAATCAGTGCCTTCTTTGTGAACTTCATTATGTGCGGCAAGAAGAAACCTACGTTGGGTTCTACGTACTGAAATAAAGTGTATCATTTTATTTTTAGACAAGCAACTTAAAGTCATATATAAAAGAATCATATTAATGAATGTTTATGACAACAAATATTTTAGAAGGCTATGAACCATCCTCAGGTTATTCTAACAGTGTTTGCCAGAAGCACATTCAACTCAGGCATTAGAATTCTATCCAGGTAATTTACTCACAGTGGACCTACATAAAAAACAAGTGAATTTACAACAACTGCTTCAAATATGCACACAGTGGACCTACATAAAAAACAAGTGAATTTACAACAACTGCTTCAAATATGCACACAGTGGACCTACATAAACAAGTGGGTCTACAACAACTGCTTCAAATATGCACACAGTGGACCTACATAAACAACAAGTGGGTCTACAACAACTGCTTCAAATATGCACACAGTGGACCTACATAAACAAGTGGGTCTACAACAACTGCTTCAAATATGCACACAGTGGACCTACATAAACAAGTGGGTCTACAACAACTGCTTCAAATATGCACACAGTGGACCTACATAAACAACAAGTGGGTCTACAAAAACTGCTTCAAATATGCACACAGTGGACCTACATAAACAAGTGGGTCTACAACAACTGCTTCAAATATGCACACAGTGGACCTACATAAACAAGTGGGTCTACAACAACTGCTTCAAATATGCACACAGTGGACCTACATAAACAACAAGTGGGTCTACAAAAACTGCTTCAAATATGCACACAGTGGACCTACATAAACAACAAGTGGGTCTACAAAAACTGCTTCAAATATGCACACAGTGGACCTACATAAACAACAAGTGGGTCTACAACAACTGCTTCAAATATGCACACAGTGGACCTACATAAACAACAAGTGTGTCTACAACAACTGCTTCAAATAAGAACACAGTGGACCTACATAAACAACAAGTGGGTCTACAACAACTGCTTCAAATATGCACACAGTGGACCTACATAAACAACAAGTGGGTCTACAACAACTGCTTCAAATATGCACACAGTGGACCTACATAAACAAGTGGGTCTACAACAACTGCTTCAAATATGCACACAGTGGACCTACATAAACAACAAGTGGGTCTACAACAACTGCTTCAAATATGCACACAGTGGACCTACATAAACAAGTGGGTCTACAAAAACTGCTTCAAATATGCACACAGTGGACCTACATAAACAAGTGTGTCTACAACAACTGCTTCAAATATGCACACAGTGGACCTACATAAACAAGTGGGTCTACAACAACTGCTTCAAATATGCACACAGTGGACCTACATAAACAACAAGTGTGTCTACAACAACTGCTTCAAATATGCACACAGTGGACCTACATAAACAACAAGTGTGTCTACAATAACTGCTTCAAATATGCACACAGTGGACCTACATAAACAAGTGGGTCTACAACAACTGCTTCAAATATGCCCAAACGCTGTTTGTGCCAAGGCCATTTTCCAAAACGAATATTTTCCCAAATGGGAAAGAGCCTAACTAGATAATTGCCTAAATGCATCAAGTTACCAAAAGCCATATGCGTAATTGGACCAAGTCCCAAGAATTGTATACATTTTTTTAATCAAGCAGAAATTATAAATAAACATTTATTTGTAATTTTAAAACTAACACAAGTGGCCAGCCTTTCCACACTACTCCCACCATTCCAGCATGCTGGTTTTATCCTAATAAGCTGTTAAGATAGCTCGTAGGTCAAGTTTTTGGATGCGATAAATAACCAAGTTAAAATAGATTTTACAAAGAAAGATAAGTAAGATATATTGTGTAAAAAGGATGGCTGCCTAGATAAAAAGTAACAGAAGCCATATAATTATTATTAATCTATATATATAAAAAGCAATGTATGTGTGTCTGTGTGTGTGTGTCTTTTATGCATCGCCATGAAACTAGTAGAAGTTGTTGAGAATATTCCTGGGGAGGTTTCTGTGAAAACAAATTCAAATTCAAAGGGGTGGCGCCCTACCAGGGCGCCATTTGTTTTTTCTCTATATATGGTATATAAAAATAAAAGTCAATTGCGGTTTCACACCGTTCATCCGATAGCCATCAAACTTTGGGGAATTGACTAGAACAATCCATGGAAGGGTTCTGCAAAAAATATTTTGTTATTTCGCAAGGGTGGCGCCCCGGGAGAGTTCGATTTTTCTCTATACAGGGTATATAAATAATAAAAGTCTATTGCAGTTTAACACCGTTCATCTGATCAATATCAAACTTAGGGGAGTTCATAAGAACATTACAGGGAAGGGTTCTGCAAAAAAATCTTTTTTTAATTTCGCAAGGGCGTAGCCCTGGGAGGGTGCAATTTTTCTCTATATACGGTATATAAAAATAAAAATCAGATGCGGCTTGAAACCTTTCATCCATGTGTCATGAAACTTTGGGGAGTAAAGGAGAATACTCCCGAGGTTTCTGTGAACAAAATAATGAAAATTTGATTTGTGTGGTGCCTGCGAGGGTGCGTTTTTTGTCAATACACAATTTGGCGCCCAGAGTTCCAGAGTGGCTATGTTAGAACGTGGCATCCGTTAATCATGCACCCTGCATAGCTGGTAAGGGGTACTACTGAAGTCAGCGTTAAAACTTCAACAGGCGCAACAGTCGGCGCCTTGTGGATTGCATGCCTGAAGCGCCCCGGGCTCCCCTGCGACCACTATGGCGCCTACGTTCATTAAAAAAAGTCTATAAAGACACGATGGGCTACAATAATCATTGACTATATCTACCCAGGCGCATCCCCTGGTGCCCCTGCAGGTTTCAATTTGGCACCCTGGGCTTTCCAGTGAGCGCAACGGCACCTACATTCGTTCTAAACAATGCGGTAGACAATGGATAAGATGGGCCGTTACAGTTGCTCACTAAAGTGAATCAGGCATGTTAGCCGGCACCCTGGTAGGGTGCGATCTGGCTGCAAACAAAAATTTCAGTTTTGGACCCCAAAGGCTCACTTGAGCTTATGAGGGCCCTGTAATACATTTTTTTTTTAATAATCCGGAAAATTAACCAAGGTTAGATTATTAACACTGGGTTGTTTCCTTTTGTCTGTAAAACATCCAAACAATTCCAAAGCCTACAATTCTCAAAATAATGAAAATATTTCTGTAAAAAGTTAAGTTTAGAAGGGCAACTTAAATCAAAAATAAAAGTCACACTTCTAAAAGTAACTTTGTAACGTGAAGAAATCCTTCTGTATAGTTTCGCCACTTTGCGAATGATGCAATTAGCATCTATTTTTAAACGATCGAATCAGAAATTGAGATCGAGCTTCTAATATACATCATTAGTAATGCTAACAAATTGCATCAGCCACACTCATGTTTATAACACGTCAAATATTCTTTTTTCTACGTGTTAAAGAAAAAATCCTGTTGATTTGTGTCACATAAGCAATTGACGCAATCTGCATCATTGTTTCCGGATGCTATTTGGCACTCTGGGTTATTCTGTGAGCACTATGGTGCCTATGTTAGTTGTAGCCAGGGGCCGTACGCGCGCCTCTGCGTTAGTGTAATCAGGGGCTCCCAAGAGCACCCCTCTACGTCCCTGACACATGGGCAGTCACCAAAGTGTGTTCTACCTCATTATTTTGGTGAGTGATTAATGTAAGGTTTTCATGTGGTAGTGTTGGTAGTGTAGGTAAACTCGTGTCCTTATATTTATGATCAAAGCGTAGGCATTGTTTACATTTAAATAACTAATTTTTAGAAAACAAGGTCATGTGTCTTAGAACATAAGATTGGTAACGCATTGATGAAACCCTTCTTATATATTTCTTCAGACTTTCTTATATGCCGCGGGGACGGGTATGCTAGTTTACTATAACAATAATTGAAAAGCTAATTGACTAGCAACAACTAAAAATCCTATTGTAACTTTAATAATGAAGTTAATTGTCTACTAAATTGAAGAGACTTTCAAGATAGGATCATTTTACATACCTTTTTCCCTAACTGTTTGCTTCTTGGCTTCAGGAATAAGGAAACAATGAACAAGATCTGCAACTATTTCCTCAGATTCTAGTTTATCTCGACTATAAAAAAAAAAACATACTTATCACACCAAATTATTGTTAATTGCTTATAAGGCTTTAAAATATGAATTATACTTAGAGGCATAATGACACATTCCAGCACCAGAGGTGACTATCAATTTCTGCCCCCTCCCACTTACCTAAATAGAGTTATTCATGTTTGCAAAAAAGCACCCCTTCCCACCAATTGGAAACTAAGGGGCACTTTTTATCAGGCACTGTCACTTGACAGTTTTTTGTTTTTGAGTCACACAATTAAATAAGTCAGTAAAGCCAAGTAGTTTTATATTTTTTAACTTCAACTGTGTAATAAAGTAACACTTCTCAGAATGAGCTTATTTTTTTTTCTAGCCCTTCAACACAGGGACACAAATACTATGCCATCAGACATTACAATGTGGGACGCCCAGGCCAGTTAGGGGATCCAAAAAATTTTAAAATACTTAATTTTTCCATTCTTAAACAATTATGTGGCCTGTACCTTGATAGTAGCTTTGTAAAAAAATAATTTAAAAATGAAAGATAGGCAAACATTCAAACCACTTCCATGACTATGGCTCTTCTTTAAATAGTCTATTAGGAGCTCCTTTAAATAGTTTTGTACTAAGCAAAGTAAAAATTTAGCCCCATTTAGCAAAACAGGCCCAAAATATTTGGAGGGGGAGGGGCTTTTTTCTTGTTCTACCACTGCTTTGACACCATTCTAGGGTAAGCACCCTTTGCTGCCATACCAACTGATAGTTTGTTTTTTTAAATAAACTTGCAAATCAAAATAATTCAATGTAAAATATTTGTTGAAATAAAATTTAAGGGGATATGCTATGTTTTTTTCTATTTTTTACAGTTTAAGATCTAAAACCTTTTGAATACTTTAATCATATTTGGCATATAAAAGTAAGTATTAAACAGCAAAAAAAAGGGTCGAAAACAATTTTGGTTGTCATGGAAACCAAAAAACCTCCGCCATTTTGAATTTTTCGGTACTTTTAAAAATGCTAAGGCTTTTTTATTTATGCATCTATAGCAATCAAATTTAAACTGCTTATATTTCAGCATATATTAAAACTTTTGTCACGACAACTTTTTGAAATAATTACCAGTAAGAATTTTACAAGGTCTAAAAAATCGTACCCTTTTTAGAATTCAAAAGTTTCAAAATGTGCATATTAATTACCAAATACTTTTTTTCTATGAAAGCAATCACAATTCCCTCGTGACAAAAGTTGTATTTTCGCATCAAGAACATTTACTGAAAATATGGTTGGCATTGTTTAATAAATAAAAAAGTAGTAGGCTTTTTAGTGTTAAAAACCAGCGAACTGAGAAAAACAGCCAAAAGCAACGAAAACTAGGTCAGGAAAGTACCATATCTGTGTAAACTGCAAAGCCGATTGTAAGCTTTGGGTGTTTCCGAGATGTAGGAAATTAAGTTTATTAAATACATGAAAAATCCAGCTTTCCAATGATGTCAAATACAATATAATGACGGATATAAAACTTTTCATAGAGAGCTTGTAAGATTGGGAAAAAGTGATTATTTTTTAATTAATAGGGTCATAAAAATCATAATTCAAACACATAAAATATTTTTTTCTTTTTAAAGTTATTATTTTCTATATACAAAAATGGACAAAGTATCCAAAAGTGCAAGAAACCCATCATGACGAAAAACAAAAAAAATTATGATTTTTTTCCGCGCATATCCCCTTAAATGCAAGAAATTGAATTCATATCAGGTATTAACATCAGAAATCTGTCTGGCTTTTTGTGAGGACGTGTGACAGAGGGGAGGGGGGGAGGTAAAAATCGTCAAAAAAAGCGTGACGTCATTTATGGACGACCCCTGATAGAACAAAACTTCCCACAATAAAAAAAATCCCAGACAAAATAGCTACAGGAAAAAATATCTCAAACAAAATATGTTGAGATAAATGTTATGAATTAAAGAAGCAATGAATTTTCCCGATGCTACAATATAATATTATAATCTTACTACTTTTGTCATTTTCAGTAATGATATAATAAATAATATTAACCATAAAAAATTAATTTGATAGTACACGTAAGTTAGTAAAAATATTAAGAAAAGTTGAAATTATACACATTGCTCCATGAGAAATATGTTCTAAATGAAAAAAATTTAAATAACGATTGACAACTGGAACATTTGAAGTAAACAGAGCAATGAGGTTACTCCCTACTGTTGAGGATTGAAGCTATTTATATAATTTCTATGTGAAAAACTTTTGCAGAAGTGGACTCGGAAGAATGCTAAACAAGAGAGACAATTATTTACCAAAGAAGATTAATGAACTCAAAATCAAAGGGACTCTGGGCCACCTTATTACTGTCAAACTGACAAAATGCTTTTAACGTAATGGTCAGTGTTAGCTACATGCTAGTTATAGAGCAGTATAGGCTATTCATGAATAAGTTCCAGAAATCTCAAGGTTACTTATCACGCAGTTCTAACTTTAGAATTTCTCACATTTACTAGCAATATACCAAGATTAATTTTCTTATCTGACATGGTATCTCTGTACACCCCAAAAAGG